TTTATTGTCGCTTCTTCAAGCACCAAAATATATATTAATCCACATTATGCCTACAAAGATTCATGGCGACTCCAACCGCCGACACTAAGACACATACAGACGTACATACGACACAAACCGAGCATCGATGTATATCGGGCCAAAAATATCCGTTAAGTTTCTGTTCGATTCGCCTGTATGTGTCTTAGTGTTGGCGGTTGGAGTCGCTATGAATGTTTGTAGACATAATGTGGATTAATATATGTTTTGGTGCCTGAAGAAGCGACAATAAAGTCGCGAAACGTCGCAAAAACATTGTTTCCTTTCAAGCCTTCCCAAACACCCACGATTTTTTTTCTGCATAAGTGTAAATATTTATTTGTATATTGTATATCCACTGAGAATTGGAGAAGTGGAATTTTCCTTTTGAGGGTATTCCAAGCTCCTGAATTGACGATTTTATTTATTGTCGCATTGACATATCTACCAATGACAATGAGCAGTGGTGATAGGTCTATAGAACGACCATCGCTGTTGTTGGGCAGGTTCTTATGGCTCCTGTGGTGCATATTCATGCCTGTCTCTGCATTTTGCACAGGTTTTGCCTTGCTTTTCGTTGCTTTAGTCAGCGCAAAATGTCAGTGGCGCAGCCGCATCTACTTCCAACAAGTCTTCTGCATATCATGAGAGCCATTTTAACTTCTCTGGTAAAGGTGTTTAGGTGTCTAAAAACTCTTCCTACTTATAGTTCAGTCATTGGGGATTTTTGCTTGGAAAAAAGTGCGGAAGTTTTGCAACTTTGCAGGTTTATAGGTTTTGGGGTCCCTAACTAAAATCCAGAAAATGCACATTTCCAGACTTGCCGCCGGCGCCGCCATCTTGCCAAGATGGCGCCCAAAATCGGTATTTTGTGAATATCTCGAAAACTATGCGTTTTTTGAGAAAATTTGAGGAGAGTAAAATTAAAGAGAATAAAATTTCCTATAAAAAAGGTTTTATGAAAATTTTCGCTAAAGTCAACCGTTTAGGCACAACATTCCTGGAAATTTTACAATTTTGCGTAAAATATGATATATTATTTATATTCGATTTTCCGAAACCAAATGTCGATTAGGGTTCACTAAAATTAGTTTTAGTTTAGTTTCTTCAATTTTGTCATAAAACAGTGGCGTATCATTAATTCGCTCATTAATTTATGAATAATTAATTTTAATTATTGAAAATGTGTACTTGTTTCCACACCACCCAAGAGGTAAAGTACATGGCGCGTTTATTTTAGACTGTACTTAAACTGCCGTTAAACGGTAGCTTACTAAAATGCCGTTAATAGGTATGACGTCGTGTATGAGACACACTTGACGGTTTTATAAAATATAGGAATTTTATAAGGACTAACCAACGCTATCCGCCCCACCAAATAACCAACTTAACCAACGCAACTAACCTTGACACTTGTAAAAAAATATAAAAGACAAATATAAATTAGTACAAAGCAACCAACCCCACCAAATAACCAACTAACCAATGAATTAACACCCTCCAAATAACCACGCTAACCAACCCGCCAAATAACTAAACCAATCCAACCAAAAAGAGTGAAACCAATGCAATAAGATCACCCTATAAACAAAAAAAATATAAAAAAGTCTTGGTCCGGCGTGAGATTTGAACCACGGACATTTCGCTCACGAAGCAATAGCCTCAGTCACGGAGCCACAGGTGCTCTTGCAAAATGCCTATCGCCAGGCATTACTTTCCGCCCACATCAACGACGTCATAATATCTATTAATGGCATTAAGTAGGCTACCGTTTAACGGCTGTTTAAGTACATCGTTTATTTTAACGTGATCTCCCCGGAATCCTATTCCACTAGATAAATTAAAAACTTTAACTTATCTGCACAAGCCCGACGGATCTGGCTCATTGATGTCAAAGTCGATCGTGTCTGCTGTGCTGGGCTCATCTGGGTGATCTCTCAATACGTCCAACTCTTCATCTTCAGCCGCCAGAGGGATATCTACAGGCTAGTCCAACTCCCCTTCATCAGATTCGTCGAGTGACACTTCAGTGACGTTGTCACAGAATTTCCCATTGCAGTATGCCCAAATCATGAACATTTTAATCCTGCTTTTCTGCATCCGCAGGCTTTACCATAGTTGTTGGTTTTGCATTTACAGGATAAAAATGCCAATAGGGATTTTGGAGCTGGATCTTTCAACGTTGTGACTGGAGTAATGCCTGTTATTGTTTTCTTCCAACCCCATTCTTCGGCATCTTTGGGACAACCAGACCAATGCTGAACCTGGTGGTAAGTTCGCAATGAATGCTCTCCAGCACGACAATTAATTATTCAGAAATTAATGGGCGAATTAATGATACGCCACTGTTTCATGACAACATTGAAGAAACTAAACTAAAACTAGTTTTAGTGAACACTAATCGACATTTGATTTCGGAAAATCGACTTTACACAAAATTGTAAAAATTCCAGTGATTTTATCCCTAAACGGTTGACTTTAGCGAAAATTTTCATATAGCCTTTTTCAAAATTTCCGGACTTTTTTCCTAGCAGGCCCCTTTTTTGATCCCCAATGACTGAACTATTATGTTTTATCTTAAGATTTTATAGTAACTACATTATTTAAGAGGAACTTAAACCCTGTAAATGCAACTAGAATGCAAAATCAAATTATAGCGTTTTCAGTAACGACCCTCAAATTATCGATCAAAATAAATCAGCAAAAGCACAGCCCCTGCTTAAAATGTAATTCGCCCCCTCAACATTGAAACATTAGGACTGGTAATTACTCACCACACTAAGACAAGTGTCTTGTCGACTTCTGTTTCTATTAATCACTTTGTCGCTTTTATTTAGACTATAAAGTAGACCGAAACCGTAACCCTCTGCTTTCAGTTAGGCTTGGAATGAGCCCAGGACAATAGTAATAATTTATTTTCTTTTGTAGCTTAGTATATTGAATTTAATTTGAGCTTGTGGTTGGAGGCGGTAATTTCTATTTCGTCGTTATAAAATTTTAAATAATAGAGGTATACAAAATCTCTCACAAGGAATATAATTAAAAGAGGCAAGTGCCTCGATTTAGAACATGTATGTTTAGGCTTGATGCATTCTTCGCCGGTGCTGCGACCATCGGAAAATATCGTAAACAACTAGAATATACAAATACACGGGTTTAAATAGCGAGTATACGAAAAAAAGTTTATATCATTATTCTAAAAGTGTTAGGAAGTATAATTTGTAAAAATTCTAAAAGAAAATTAAAAAAAAGTGAATATTTTGATATCTTCAGAAGGTCTAACTTATATATATTGGTGTATTATAATTTATTATTGAAGCGAATAAAACTTTTTAGTTCAACTACGGTAGTGAGCATAGCTATTTCGGCTATAAAATTTAATAAAAATATAGAAATTTTTTAAAGGTAGTTATAATTTTAGAAGATATACATAAAAAATTTAGGCACCAGTTAATTAAAAAAACAGTATACCATTAATATTACAAATTATATTTTATCCTCTCTTAGTATATGTCTATTTAATTTTTTGGTTATGTAATGAACACTTTCTTTACTCACTTGTTTCGTTGAACTGCTTGAAGTCATTTTTGCTGTTGATCAAATAGGTTTGAGAAGCTGTAAAGCTATACAATGTTGATTCGGGAATGTTATTGCACCCAACAACCACGTAATTACGCCCTCCTTTTTAACGCGTTAACATTTTTTCACATAACGCGACGCCCAGTTCGAGTTCTTTTCACTTATTTTTTTACTACCCGAAATAACATTACCTACATCACACAAACCTCGTACCTAAACAAACCAAACCAAACTTTTTTTTCATTATTAGACATTATTTATCATCAGCAATAATTTCCCAACTTAATGCGTATAGAAATGCTTATAGGTTAAGAATCACCCTGTAATACAGGGTGATTCTTAACTTACAGGGCCTGTATATTAATTTCCTGCTTTGCATTCCAATAGAACCGACTTATTTCTTTGTAAAATAAAATAAACTACTTTTGAATTAAAATGACAGACGCATCAATCTATCACTGTCAAGGACTTTCTCGTTGGTTTCTCGTTGAACAGACTATATATTAAGAAATACGGAATTCCAGGAAAATGTAACTATTTTATATTAAAAATAAAGACATTGAATGCTATATAGAGTATACATTGTCTAGTTTCTGCTGCTTAATTTTATCTGCCAGATGGCGATCGCTTTACTGCGTCCAGTTGATGTTTCCACTGAACACAGAAAACTCAATTTCGTAATTTATGTTTATTCTGCAACTTCCCCGAAATGTCAACGTCCTTCCCGGGACTGAGAAAACATTATAAGGGGGAACTCTTCCAACTAACTTAATTTTGTCTTTTTTTTTCTCTTCTTTAATTAAAACTGTCCAAGATCTTGACAGAGAGCACATGTTGCCATCCAAGGGCTGCAGATTATACAATTATGAATAGGCCTCAAGTGCGATATTAGTTTTACCAGTTTTATTATATTACTAAATAACTAATTTCTTATTAAATTTATAAAAAAGTATCTGGTAAACGTTAATGCCTAAGAATTATTAATTATTACATATTATTGTATGTGTACAGGGTACGTTTTTGGGGTGTACAATAATTATATGTGTACAATTTCCTGTTTTTGTGGTTTCTCGTTTATGTTTTTAGAGATACAAAGATGTGTGTTTCACATCACTGGTACTACTTTTTTGCAAAACTAAAGATACAACCTATATCCCCATATTATCATCAAATTATTTTTAATTAATAATTTAATATTACATTAATTATGTTTTTTAACTAAAAACTAAAAAAAAATCCAAAAAATGTGTTCGCAAAAAAACCTCATAATCGTGTTTCTGGGGTGGAAATATACTACCCCTAAAAATATTTAAACTTATTTAAGACGCACCCTGTATATTCGAAAATATTTTAATGTATATTGTAAAACAAGAAAATTATATAGGTAGATATATTTAAATTACCTGGCATTCTGTGGACCAACACTTTTGGCTTCATATGATGAACTTGCAGAAATTGCATGATCTGGTATTCTGCCTTCTTCCATACCAAGAGCTGATCTGCATTCTCCTGAAACATAATAATGATATAAACAAAAAGTTAAACGCAATATTCTCATATGACTAGTTAAAAGACCTACAATACACGCAACGATTTAATCAAACCCTTATTGTTACACTGAACCACAAATATCGGTACGAATATACAGTGAATGATTGTATTTAGATTACTTTTAAACTGAAATTATTTACAGAATAAATCGATTCCAGTACACACATACACATGTTATAGGTATATGTTACGGTTAAGGTCACATATTCGGTTAATATCGACATTACCAGGTTAATCTCGAAAATATACATACATACATACATACAGCCGTTACTCGCTGACGAGTATTCGACACACATAAAGAAAATGGTCACGCAAGGCGTTTTCTTTCATGAGCTTTTCTGTGACTGAAAAGCCCGATACGTGATGTTATCTGCCTACCGCACTCCGGACATTCAAAAATCTCATTGCTTTGTTGCCTCTCCACTTTCTGGTTGCCGCTGTTAACTGAGTTTACAACCCTTCTCCATTGAGTTCTATTGTGAGCTGCTTTTTCCCACTCATTCTGCATGTTAATTCCCTTTAAATTTTCGTGGAAAACGTCCTTGTATCTTTTCAGTTGTCCACCCGGCCTCCTCTTACCGTCCACAAGCTCACCGTAAAGCAGAGATTTTGGTATGCGGTTTTCTTGCATTCTGCATACGTGACCAGCCCATCTTAAGCGGGATTTTGTGACCATGACTTCAATACTCTCGCAGTTAGATTTTCAAGGACCGATACGTTTGAGACATGATGGAACCACCGGACTCTTAAGAGTTGTCTAAGGTGTCTCTGTTGCAACTTGTTCAATGCGTTCATGTGTCGGCGGTAAGGCACCCAGGTTTCGCTCCCATATATCATGGTGGGGATTATAATTGCTCGGTATACTGCAAGTTTTGTTTTTGTACTCAAGTCATGATTGTAGAAAACCCTGTCTTTCAACTTCCAGAATGCTCTTGAGGCGCTACTAATCCTGTGCTGAATTTCAGAGTCAATATTGGCCTTTTCCGAAATCAAACTGCCAAGGTAATTGAATTCCGCCACATATTCGAATAGTTCTTCTCCGATTTTTATAGCATTGTTGTGATCTTCCGGGGGAGTGCACATGATTTTAGTTTTGCCGATGTTCAGCTTAAGGCCCAAAGCCTCGTATGCCCAGGTATATGTGTTCAACATTTCTTGTAATTGTTGTACCGTTTTTGCAACTAGAGCGCAGTCGTCATACCTAATTGCCAGACGAATTCACCGGGTTTTAATACTTGCCTGACGCAAATAAAGATTTTAAATGAGCGCGACAAAAATGTCTTCTAGGTTAAATAGATGCTAAAATTTAAGAATAAACAAATTTCAAGTTGCCTAAAGGATGTTTTTTGGATTTATTTTTTTGCAAATGTAATGGGTTGCGCAGTAGCAAAATGACCACAAACCCCCTGCCCGACTTAGGATTCTGGGTTCACCAGTTAATAAACTTTAATTTTTTTGTTATTTTAACTTGCCTAAAATATGTTCTCTAAATATTTCGTCAGCTCTTAGACTAGATCAAATAAATAAAGAAAAGCTTTAGCACAGAATATTACAACAGACAAAAAATAAGCTATATACTTTAGTTAACACTAATTAAATAATAAGGAAACATTTTCTTTACCTGTAATAACATTCTTTGTCACAATAACCAAAATTTACAAACCAAAATAACAAATCAACGCGTCTCGAACGATAGTCTGAACGTTATTACATAACACCTATCGTCTCTGTTCTTTGTCTGATTTCCCTCTCCCTAGTTTGTGTGTAAATATTTAAAAAATCAATAATTATTTATGTATACAGAGTGTCTTAAAACTGAATGTTTTAAATTTAGAGAAATATGTTTATTTTTAAATAGGCGGGTAATCTCAATTACCTTCACAAGTTTTCTCTGTAATTATTCAAGTTAAGTTTTATATTCATTAAAAACCATGAATAATGATGGCATCATGGATTTCATGATTCCATCTCGATAAATAAGAAAATTGTTACTTTGACTTTGTATCACTTTTTGTCTAATTTTTACAACCATATTTATTTTTCTTTTAAAATTATTAACAAATTCAATAGATGTAATTGAATATAATATGACCCCATTAGATAAATATTTGAGTAACAAACGGAACTTAAAATTAAGAAGAAACAACAACAAGACATGCGTTATTCAATTTTATCAAAATAAATTAGTGGGTTAGAAAAATCAAATGAAATATTATTAATAGCGTTGCTCTAGTAACATCACGTTTACCATTATATAAATTAATAAAATTATAAATTCCGAACTATACTTCATAAATATAAATTGCAAATTTGTAATTTAAACTGCAAAATTTATTTAATGGCTGACCTTCTTATTGAATTTTATATATTTATATTTTAATATCAACATGGGCCATTGCTACTTTATATGCGAAAATATCAAATAATTGACGATTACATGCTATATATAATATGGAACTAACAAATGCAAAAATTCAATTCGGCAATAAAACATATCAAAATATAAATTATTAACAATGAATCTGCAAATATTACCATTTTATAATACTTATAAATTTTCTGTATTTAACGCAAACTAATAAAATATATTTTTATGAAAATTATGTTTGGTAATAATTATTGGAAAAACTGGAAATCGTCCTTTGTTCCTAAAAATTGGTATATGTACACCCTATTTTGGTGTTGTATAGATCACGAATCTGAACATTTTTTTGCGGTCTCTTAATGCGGTCATAATTAGCAAGCACACAAAACAGAGCAAAATATTCAAATCAATCAGATGAGTATTAAAAAAAAACAAAAATAAACAAAACAGTTAAGCCAAGCAATCATTGCTAGAGCTAGAGCTAGACATTAACCTAATTCTACCAATTATTTTATTAAAAACTTATAATCAACCGAAAAAGACGTGGCAATGTTGCAAATTTCTAGATTTATTTCTCTCATTGCATAGGAGAGACAAAGATGCATATATGAAATGCCAAACTTCCATCTTGTCTCAATTTTCTTTGTTTAATTTGTTAAGAAAAATGTTTTTCAGTAAAAAAATATTACTTTGTAACGGCTTAAATTACGAAAAATCCATTGTTTAAATAAATTTTCGTTTTTCTGAAATACGGTATAATACCGCTAAAAAAAGTTAAAATTCGTCAAAATATAGGATGTATTACAATTTTTTATCAAAAAGAAACGATTTCCAGTTTTTCTGCTTTAAAAAGAAATTATAGGTACTCTACCGGACCGTAGAGGTGTGTAGTTCGTACAATGTACTATTCCGACCCCGGAATGAAAGGAACTAGTTCCTGGTTTCTCAAAGAACTAGTTCCTCAGGACCTATTCCGAGATCGAGACTGTGACCGATATAGAATAATATGCGACGGCGACGGATCGGCTAGCGCGCGTAGCACAATGGTAAGCAGGAGTGGGGGTGTCAGCCGTACATTATCGGATCCGGACCTAGAGAAACTAAACCACAGAATATACTAACGAAAAAGAAGCCCAAGTTCCATGTAATAAATCGGTTCCATTTTCGTAACGCCATCTCTCGACATAGCTGACATTAACAAGTTAGCCAAAGGGGTGCGGGGCCGGGGGGAATTGTAAAATACACTTTTTTATTTTAATTATTTTTATTCGCTATTTGCAATTTTATTTTTAAAACATATTATGTGAAACAATCACATAATATGTCTTAAAAATAAAATCACAAACGGAAACAAAAGGAATTAAATTATCTGAAAATCTACAAAGTTTATTGATAAAAAAGTTAGGCTATGCAAATTGATATATTAAGTATAACCTCTTCATTGTTAAACAAACATTAACAAATCATAACATATCAGATCATAGAACTAAAAAAAGTACTATTACATAAAAACAGGTGATACAATACTTCAAAATTAATTTTAACATAATATCAAAACCGAAAAATCAAACTGCAAACACAACCACACTTATCACAACAGAAATTAACACACACTTCCGCGGCAAATGTCCAAGAAAGACTGATCATTCTGATTGGTCCTGGTCCGGTCGTAGCTCACGTCGTATTGTCGGTAAGCAAAATCCCTGTTTATTATCCCTGTATCCAAAATTTTGACGATCAGCGCCATCATCCGTCTTAATTGGGAAACTTTTGCTGGAACCATTTTTAATATTTCACTTACATGGCCCTGAACTAAACTAAATAGACTAGTTTACGTACGAACGGATCGGGCCAGCGCGATCGATGCTAAGCAGGAGTGGGAAATGCCAGCCGTATGCCGTATGTTATCGGATCCGGACCTAAAGGAACTAGAGGAACTAAATAAAATACTAGTTTACGTATGGATCGGCCAGCGCGATTGATGCTAGGCAGGCGTGGGGAGTGCCAGCCGTATGTTATCGGATCCCGACATAGAGGAACTATTAAAAGACTAGTTCACGGGAATCTATTCAGTCGGCAGATCCGAGATATAATACAAGGCGACGATGATGGATTCGGCCTTGTCTATTGCCACATCCGGACCTAAAGGAACTAAATAAAAGACTAGTTACTAGTTTACGTATGGATCAGCCAGCGCGATTGATGCTAGGCAGGAGTGGGGAGTGCCTGTTTTTTAAATATATTATGGGAATGTTTCACTTTAGGTCCCTAAAATTAAGAAATATCTTATAAAACGAAGTAGATATTCTGAATTTTTAGACAAAAACAAGAAGCTTGAAGTGAGGAAAAATAAAAATGCAATTTTCCGTAAAATGTTTGTAATATTTCTCGCTCCATTTGATTTGTGATATGGTTTTTTAAATTCTGATTTGGATTTTTTTTTTATTTTTTTTCATCTGCAATAAAACTTACCTATATGTTTTTAACATACACAATTACAAGTCTCGTTATATCTCCGTACATTATAAAAATTATACAGATCATACTGTGAATAGTTCTGACTGACAACGAAACGCATTAGCAAGCAAGG